CCCCCCCCCCCGTTGTATTGTTATGACTCCCGTCTTCAGGTTGATAAAAACATGTATGTCTCCAGCTTTTATGTGGACTTTTTGTAAATTTTCATTCCACAGAATTTTGAACCATCTGTTTCTTGTGTCAAGGGGTAAGTATGCCATGCGCAAGCTTCATGTCAGCTGTTAACCGAAATCAACTCTTTTATTACTTTTATTATGCTTTCTAATGTGTTGACGAGAATCGTGAAACCTTTCCATAAAGAAAATCTTCTATACTCCACTGAAGGGATTTTTGATAGTTGGTATTTACCTGATGGTGTTAAACTTTTGAATTTCTGTCTTACATCTACGAGGCAAAGCTTTGAAACTTTAATTAAATTCATATAGGTCACTGAGCATGTCAGGAGCAAATTACTTGGAGCGTTCAGCTACTCCCATACTGACTCTATGTCACGGTGTTTTCACAGAATGGTTTATTTTTAGACTATCTGTTCGCGGGAAATAGGCTACTCGAGCTCACTTTAAGTGATACGATCCATGAAAAGCGAAGAAAAAAAATGGCGGCCTAATGCGGGGACGTTTTCATTTAAAAACCACTCAAATTCCGCCTTTCTTTTGCTTTATTCCAGTATTCCAATCCTTCCTTTCCTTACATATCCCACTATCCTTTGCAAATTTTTTCACACTTGCCAAAAAAATTAGCAGGAGTGCGGATCATCGTTGCATTTTTAGTTTCATTTCAGTTTTTTTGAGTTTTCGTGTGTATCAAAGGTTATCCGTCTTCTGATTCTGGCCCTTCCATAGAAAATTTCCTGAAAAGAGTTCAATCAAGACGATAAAAAGGTGCCAAAGGCAAAATTGCGTACGCAAGCTGTGTGCGAGTCGTCTTCATCTCAAGAATCTTAATCCACACCGTCCGTAAAAGACAATTTGAGACGCAGGATTGAACAGAAGCTGGTGCAACAAAATGAAGAGCGTTTTTCTAAATCGCGTGAGAACGAGGCTGGGGTTGACTTGTGTTATATGTCTGTGAGCGTTTTTGGTGAAATTCGTACGTGGGCAGTAAAATTGTTCGATTTTCATGGAAAATGGATGCTCCTAGCCGAAATCTCGCTAATTTTTATGGTAAAAAGGAAGGAAAGCAGTGTGCCGCTTTTAGTTGTTCAAAAACATTTTATGGCCCCAATGGCTTGCCCACAAGCTTTCACTTCTTCAAGCTTATGCACGGAAACATGTATTTTTGCTAATAATTTATCGGTCTGTCCTTATTTTATTCTCTGTGAATTATGAATGAGGGTAGCTACTGTTTCAAAATTTGTACAAATTTTCTATTCGGTACCTGAATACTTTTAAGTTCAATAGAGTTTTTTTATTCTGGCACTAAGTCAATAAGTTCAGTGTTGCTCACTTGTTTACTTCATGGCTTGCCAAAAACACTGCTAACAGAGAAACTCTTAGAAAGTTATTTCTTTTAATAAAATAATCAAGACACTGTATCTTCAGAGTTGTCACTTATTATGGCAGACCCAGAAAAATCAAGTCACTGATAAAATTAAAACTATTTCCTTAAACGTACTGTATTAATATAATACTAACCAAACGATAATCAGTTGATAATCTCTTGAACTAAACTACAGTTTAATCTGAGCCAGAATGGCGCTACGATCTCTCACTGAGTCTATGACAGGTCCTATCCATCAGGGCTAAATCATTTATCTTTGGAGATAAAAGCTAATGAAAATGGTTTTGAAAAAAGGGGAAAAATGTTACAATCAATCAATCATATCAATTAATCTTTCAGCAGAGCCGGCCCTTAGACGCAAGACGGACACTCACGTAAGAAAACTCGTGACTCACCTTAAAAGAAATTGGGCTTCTTGATTTCGAGAGTACCGTAACCCTAGGTTATAAGCGTTTTTACTTAATAAAAACATGTCTTTCATCGTCTAGAAAACCTCTACTTTGAAGCTTCGGTTGTGTCAAGGTTGAAACCAAATCTAGACAACATCAGAAGTCGGTATGTTATAAAACCAAAGCTATGCATTAAGTTGTCACATTATTCTTCATTTATTTGAGAGCACTTGAGAAAGATGGAAACAAGCGCCAATGTGGCGGCCTTTATTTTCCGAGACATCTCAAATTATACCAATTTGTACTCCTGGATGAGTTCATGTCAGTTTTA